ATAATCAGTCACAAGAACGTCGAATCTGAATCACTTGAAAAAAACACGGGGGTGCTTAACTTTTTTCCAGGTGTATAGCTTCTAATCATGGTATCATTTTCTCCTATATTAAAGAGGAAGCTCTGGTAGTAAATTAATAGTTGTTAGGTTGTTTTTAATAAACATTACACCCATCTGTTGTTTTGCCGCAGTATGATATACGAGGTAATGACATGCACAATCCAAACAACAAGGGAATAGGCAGTGTAAGGCTATATCTTCTGTCACATTATTTTAAAGGGCCTGCAATAGCAGCTAACTCATGCAGAACTGTATATCCTTATCAAGTTTTCAAATTTCCATTTGACAAAATAACTAGTTTAATACTATACTATAAAGAAGTATCTGGTTTCAATATGTATCTGGTCCAAAAATATTCAAATCCAATTGGATATAAAGAATTGGATATCCAAATATTACCAAAATTACTGTTTATCACATCCATACTTGAAAATATTTTAAACTTTGTAGAGAAAATTTCCTGACTCGTAAAGTATCAAAAACCATCCAACCATCTCTCGACTATCTATGGTCAAAGCTTGTGCAACCGATATATATTGGTTGCTCATGTAGGAAATACTAATAACCTCTATTTAAGGTCTGTGTGATAATTTCCCAGTAACTAACACTCTAAAGAGTATACTCACCAGAATAGTTATAAATATATTGTTACGTCTCTGTGTTCGTTTGTTAATTTTTTGTAGAAATTCTTCCCGAGGAAGTTCAGCGATACAAGTCCTTTCTTAAGTGAAACTATTTTATTCTTTCTCAATTCAACTTTGCAATACACTTTAATTTCCAGTCACTTTAAACACACGCTATAATTCACATTGATTTACGCACTTACTTATGGTCACTACCGCGCTTGACTCAATTGTCTATCTCTGCCTGTCTGCTGTTCAGTTGTTGCCGTCACTTTTTACCGGTCTTATATATACAAAAAGCGTACATCTGGAGAACACTCGAGACTTCACGAATGGACATGATCTTTCTAGAAGCTCATGACGTGTTACTAGCGTCACATGACTTCCGCTGTCGTAACACTGCCCCTTCCTTAGTATTGTTGGTCTCGAACAATAACCTCTTAAGTTAAACCAATTGGTAATTAACAATAACTTAATTAAATGTACAGGATTTACAAACACAAAATTAAAAGTAAACAAAATCTCTTAATTTTACGGGATGTATCTTCTTCCGTACTGGCTTCTGCTTCACGTGAGGTTATACTACTCCATTGGGAATTGTCCTATTATCGGTAACAGTCACATCAGTGGTAGTAACTTCACTGTTTCCTTTCTCAAAACCAGGTAAAGTATCTTCTTCGACAGTGGCCTTTCCAGGTGACACATCTTCAGCAGCGTCATTTGTTCCATTGTTCACTTCATTCCAACTGAATAACGTGATAACGTCAAAGCCTGTTGGCATGCACCACCTTTGGCTTACCTTGCCTACCACATTTTATCTGGAATGTCACGTCTGAGAGACGATTCACTATGTCATATGGGCCTTCCCATGGAGAAGACAACTTAGGAGACTTCCCTTTGATCTTCCTGGAATTATACAACCACACCTTGTCTCCTGGTACAAAGCTGACTTCGGTATATCTCTTATCATAACATAACTTCGTGGAATCAGCAGATGTTTTCAAGTTTGAACGCGCTTCATGGTGAATATCATCCATCCTTTCCGATAACACTTTCACAAACTCTGACAAATTTTC